CCCCCCACCTGCAGCCAAGCCAATAGGATCCCAGGCAACTTAAGATGCAGACTAATTGCACACCCAATCAGTATACTCCCCCGCTCTGGCCATGCCTCCCCTCGGGCCACAATCACAGCCCCCCACCTTACAAATAGTTTCAGGAGGACACCACATAAATCCATAGGTACAGTGCATGGCACGGAAAGCTGTCTGACAGTTCCCTGGCCTGCAGACTTAGGATGAGTGCACATGAACCACAGTGGCAGGCACAACACTAGCACTACAGGGTGAGCACCTGGAGGGAATTCAACACAGGGAGAACAAAGTCCACCCTTAATGTCCGAGCTATGAGATATGGGCAATTCCATATGGCATAGGACTACAGAGCCTCACAAGGACCATCTGCATCCCAGCCACCCTGGGAACATTTGGATTGCAGATGTGGGTCTACAGTGGCAACTGGCCAACAGAGTTTGCCCAGAGCACACGGGATGGGCCTGCCAGTTTGGTGTAGTGGTTAAGTGTGCGGACTCTAATCTGGGAGAACCGGGTTTGATTCTCCACTCCTCCACTTGCACCTGGCTGGATGACTTTGGACAAGCTGTAGCTCTGATAAGAGCTGTTCTTGAAAAAAATCAGTTTCTGTCAGAGCTCTCTCAGCCCCACCTACCTCACAGAAGAAGAGACTGGATTTATACCCCGCCCTTCACTTGGAGTCTCAGAGCGGCTTACAAACTCTTTTCCCTTCCCCTCCCCACAACAGAAATCCTGTGAGGTAGGTGGGGCTGAGAGAACTCTGACACAAACTGCTTGTTGTGAGAAAATGTGTGTGGCTGCACGTGTCTGTGAATGCATGTTTACCTGTGCCACCCACACTCTGCTCAGTTCGTGTGTCCCCTGAGTGATGCCTCCTTACCAAAGGCAAATGGTGCAAGTTTGGAAACTGCTAAACGCTGGCAGACATTCAAAGGTCTCTTCTTAAAATAAAACTTATCTTTAGTAAAAGAAAAACATTCAAAGATTTGCCTGGCAAGGTGGCTGGCAAGACGCTCTGCCATCTGCCAACACAGTACACTCCTATTTCCTAAATGCAGATAGTGAATACACAGAAAATAATAAACATGCAAGCAAAGTCCCCTCCCCCCCAAAGCATGCAGAAAACGAAAGGCCTTTCGGACTGACTCCTTCAAGAGTCAGCGAGGATCTGTTGGAACTGACCAGTATTTATACCAAATGATCAAAGAGGTCCCTCAATAATTAAATTACAGTTATAAATTAACATTTTGAAGTTTTACAGACGATTGTTTCCTTGCGTCTCACACAACAAAAGTCCACATTTTACAGGATCAATAGTGTCATTGTTTCTTCCAGGTGTTCCCCAATATGGGAAATAAACTGGAGTCGTAGCATAACACACTGAAAATGTTGAGACAGTGTGCGACTGCAATAAAAAAGGCCAATGCTATGGTCGGGATTATTAGGAAGGGAACTGAAAACTAATCAGCCAGTATCATAAAATGCCCCTGTATAAATCGATGGTGCAACCTCATTTGGAATACTCTGTACAGTTCTGGTCACACCTCAAAAATGATATTATAACATTGGAAAAAGTGCAGAAAAGGGCAACTAGAATGATAAAAGGGTTGGAACACTTTCCCTATGAAGAAAGGTTAAAACACTTGGGGCTCTTTAGCTTGGAGAAATGACGGCTGAGGGGTGACACGATCGAGGTTTATAAGATTATGCATGGGATAGAGCAGGTAGAGAAAGACGTACTTTTCTCCCTTTCTCACAATACAAGAACTCGTGGGCACTCGATAATGCTGAGCAGTCGGGTTAGAACAGATAAAAGAAAGTACTTCACCCAAAGAGTGATTAACATATGGAAGTCACTGCCACAGGAGGTGATGGTGGCTACAAACATGGACGGTTTCAAGAGGGAATTGGATAAACATATGGAGCAGAGGTCCATCAGTGGCTATTAGCCACAAGGCATAGATAGGAACTCTCAAGCTGGGGCAAGTAATGCTCTGTATTCTTGGTGCTTGGGGGGGGCAACACTGGGAGGGCTTCTAATGTCCTGGCCGCACTGATGGACCTCCTGATGGCACCCAGTATTTTTGGCTGTGTTGGACTGGATGGGCCATGGCCTGATCCAACACTGGCTTCTCTCATGTTCTTATTAACAAGGATGTAGCCTTTTTGCTAGAATAACAAAAGTTTGAAGTTTGTTTTGGTTTTTGTGCATTATGTACTTGTGGTGTAATGCTTAGCTATACTTGTTTTAATAGACAAACATTTGAGAGAAATGTTTAATAATACATTACTCATAATTAAAATGTTTATTTTAAAAAATGTATTTCACCATTAAGAATTTAGCAAAAATAACTTTGATTAGTTAGCCTGGTCTGTTATCCTGCGGACTGATTTGCTGTATTTTAGAATGTTTCCACCCTTATTTTCACGCTAACCCAAAATCTGTTCTTTGATCTCCTGATCTCTAAGCAACTCTACCTTAGTCAAGGGTTGGTACCATGTTACCTTGTAGGGGGTGATTAAAATGTGGAATTCGCTGCCAGAGGTTTTAGTGATGACCACAGGAATAAACAGCTTTAAAAGGGGATTAGATAAATTCATGGAGGATAACTCTTATCGGTCGCTACTAGCCATGGTGAGAGGGGAACCTCCACAATCTGAGGCAGTAAGCCTCTGAATCTGAGAGCCAGCCAGGAGGCAGCATCAGGGGAAGGCCTTGGCCTCTATGCCCTGTTGTTGGCCATCCGGAGGAACTGGTTGGCCACTGTGTGAGACAGGATGCTGGACTAGATGGACCATTGGTCTGATCCAATAGGGCTCTTTATGTCCCTCTTAGGCATGTGGAATGTACTCTAAACAGAGGGGAGGGTGAATGATGTTTAAAAACAGAATGGTTGAACCTTTTTTTCCAATACCAGGCCCTGATGTTGTGCCTGTTTTATCCTATAAAGGATAAAGGAATCTTGTTCAGTATGCCAGCTTGTTCGTGTGTCTTGAGTACTCAAATGAGCTTGCATTAAAAATGATCATTCTTAATAAAATCGTATGCTCTGTCACCAAAAGCCTTGAGTGAGGCTTCTCTCTCCTAGATTGATCTGTGTGTGTGTGCGTGCGCAAGCGTGCTGGGTTTTAGCAGACTTCACTAATGTAATACTCTTCATAAGTGAGGAAAAAGTATGTGTAAGTATCTTCTCAGTACAAAGAATGAGAACAGCTTTAGCAGAAATGTTTTCGTATGTGGAAATAAAAATGTATCGTTAGCCCTATTTTAATTTTTTGATGGAAAAAGCCACTTAACCCAAAACTGAACATATACATGTCCCTTGTTCTCTAAGTGTAGTGAGAATAATTTGTGATCCAGGATGTTATCATGTTCTAGCTGACCACAGTATCCTCTTGACACCATGTTTGTATAAGGCCCCTCCGTTTCAAAGGAGATGCTGCGTATGAAAACACAATGTAGCCTAGATCAAATATTTCCTTTCCAGGTACAATGGGTACAGAAAATGCAATGAATTTTTGAGACAGTTCTTTTTAACTAATTTGTAGCCCAATCTTATACAGTTAGTTATAAATAAGGCCCAGTGAATTCAATATTGGAGACTTAATAATAATATTCTGTTACAAAGTTTGTTCTAGGCTTAACACAATACATGTCTTTTGATTTACAAGGCTACTTAGCTGTGACAAACCAACACAAAAATCACATTTCTACTGAAGAAATCCCCCCCCCCAATATTTTGATGAGATATAATACTTCACCTTTATTAGAAAAAAAACCTTTATTTTGGTCACTCAACCAAAACCAAAATTTCTGACATAATTCAGACAATCATACATGCTATATGAAAAAATCGATGAGCAAGTGGTCGATAAGCCCTGGTAAAACATACAAGGTTATTTTTACATTAGAAAATATAGATTGTGTATAACGTAAGGCAACGTAAGGCAATCATTCTAGTTGCCTAAACATCCCAAATGTTTATAGAGATGGAAAGGTGTTTTTCCATAAGAGATTCCAAGAACACAGTTGATACAACTTTTACCCCACTTCACCACCAATTAATATGCAGCAAACGTTTGCAGAATGTCCCAAATCTTGACCATTTCAGTTGCCATTCATATTCTAGCAGGGTGCCTGGGTATGAAAATTATCTCAGTAGTGAAATTAACAGGAAAAAGGGAACTTTAGTGGGGAAAATGAGGACTTTACCTTCGGGTGTTAATATGATGTGCTAGGGTTGCTATGATTTTCGTTGTTTTCACATCCTCCACAATGAGTATGTCAAAGGGCACACTGCTTTGGGCCACCAGAACTTCAAAGCTGTTTCTTCCATGGAAAGAAACAATGTAAATGCCGTATTCACATGTTTTCTTCAGTGAATAGTACAAGTTCTCTATTATGCTAATTCATATGTTACAGCTGCAAAACTGGAAGTACAAACAATTGAAGTACAAACATTCATTCAAGTCTCTAAAGAAAGAAAAATTCCTCTATCACAATCAGATATTGACCAGCCATTTAAGGCACATTTGAATGTAAGAAACTGCTGTACTCCTAGGAGTCATAAACACATGGGACAAGAGAATTTCAGACAGACTGTTTCTGACAATGTGCAGACCTCATTTGCCTTTCTCTGGGATGCAAAGAGGTGTAGTGCAATTTAAGTTCAACAGCCAGACCACAGAAAACAGGCCTGTAAATGTACCTCAGTGGTGCAGCAATATCAGAAACAATTAGGTACATTACCCTGAAAAAAATGTGACCCAATAATAAACAGTCTGTTGTCAGTCTTCCACCAGAAGTATATTTAATAGATGATCAGCTGTATAGTTACAGCAAGATACATGCTGTTATGAAGCCATATAAATGAAAACAAAGTTCCCTGTTGGGACCTTGATTTCATTTAAAGGTAAATACTTCCAGTACTACTATTCTATGCAGTAAGTGAAGGGAAATTAGGAGTTAAGTGTATTTTCATGGCTTCATATTTTTGAAAAAAGGATGGAGCAAGGCATCCTTTGCGGTTATTCTTGAAGCAGGATTTAGGTCTAGCAGCCTATCAAGAAGATCATAGGCCTCATCAGGGACACTGTCCCATCCTTTCAGATCAGCTGCTTTTTCTGAAATCCTAACATTCATGCCATCACCTTCATGGCAGCTTTTCTTCTGATACTGGATGTATTGTTGAGGTGTCTGAGACACAAACTCTGAACTATTGCTTATTTCAGCTGGTAACATATGTTCCCGAGAAGGGTTGATCACCTGTTGTATATCACCTGTTGAAATATCAGAGTTAATACTTTTTCCTCTCAGCCTTTCACAGAGCTTTCTTAAATCCTGTGCTGGGATTTCTTTGCTGCACAATACTGATTTACCTGCGTGAAAAGCATGATGGTTAGAATGTTTGTTACTCAGCATGCAACTGCAATTTTCTACATACATCATTTTAATACTAATACAGAGACCATATATACACACACACTTTAAAGTTAAGTAGTGCTACACAGCTTCCAACTAATGTAACTCATTTGTTACCTCCAGCCTTTCATAAGAATGTAGCATTTTCCTTTTGTGAACTTCCCCAGCCCTGTGCTGAAACATCTTTTATATAGAGGCTCGATGGCTAGAATATGCATCTGTCACATTACTATTTTGTAACAAAACACAAAATAGCTAGCAACACTGGGGCAAGTCCAGATTAAACATACTTGAGGTCCAACACAGCAAAACCTCATACAGGAACAGATGGCTGGAGTCCTAGTTTCCCCATGCTGACGGCATTATTTCTAGGCATGCTTACCTATACTGGGACACAAGTGGTGGTAAAGAAACACAATTCATGGTGTGCTTTTGTAAGATAACATGAAGTTCTGGGAACACCGTCCACTTTAAAACATACTAAACAGATGAATTTACCCAGCTACTTTTATTTCCATTCAGACATTTGTAAATACAATCAATTTTGTTTGCTTGCTCTCTAATGTGCACACATGGTTATTCAAGTATTTTTGTTACCAAAACACTAAGAAAATACACATATTGATGGACGAAGGCAGGGCTGGCCCAAGATTTTTTAGTGCCCTAGGCGGGGCTACCTTCTGGCGCCTCCCCCCCCCCGGGAACGCCTAATTACAGGGTTGCCAACCTCCAGGCGGGGCCTTGAAAGAAGGAAGTCCCCGATTTGCTGCAGCCGGCGGCGGGGACTTTCTTACCTGGGTCCAGAGAGGCTGGGGGGTGGGGCGGACATGCTCTCTGAGCGGCGCCAGGCTTCCCCTCCACTCCGCCTTCCCCGCCCCAAAAGCCATACCGGGGGAGCTGCTGCTGGCTGCCAACAGGGTTGCCTCCACAGTGGGCAAAGGAGCTCTCCGGCCTCTCCCCAGGGCCCCGAAGGCGTCCTGGCTGCAGGAAACGAGGCCAGGGGAACTCCGCACGACCGGATCCTCCTCCTTCTTCCCCGATGGCCGGTCAGCAGGCCCGGGCAGCTACGTGTGCCGCTCCCTTCTCTTCCCCATCGCTCCCCGCCACCCGCCTGCTGCTCGCGGGCGCCTGTGGGCCAAGGGGGGGGGCGGAGGGAGGGAGAGGAGCCAAGCCCCCCCAGCATGGGGAACCATGCAGACCCACCAAATTGCGTTGACTTGATGGACTGTCCACCCAACGGCATGAGGGCCAGGAGGGGACATGTCGGTGTTGGGGGGGACATTGGCTTGCAGAGCGGTGGGTACACTCTGAGAAGTAGGAGGAGCCCTGTGATGCTGGGATGGGTGGGGGGAGGCTGGGTTGAACCCCCCCACACACGCATGCACTGAGTCGCGAAACTTGGAGCGTCCAAGTTGGAGGAAGGCGGCAGGCAGTTCGGCCAGGTAGAGGGCGGTGGGGCAGGGCAGCAAGCTGAGGGCGCAGGCCAGGCACGGGGCGGGGCCTTCACGGCTGGAAGCAGCAATGGTGCAAGGGCTTTTGGTGGGGGGGGAGATCGGCGCCCCAACCACCACCAGGCGCTCTAGGCGAATGCCTAGTTCGCCTAGCGGGTGAGCCGGCCCTGCATGAAGGTGTTCTTTGTGTGAGATAATAACAGTGCAGTTACTGACCACGATTGACTGTGCATAATTATAAACTTAATTTATAATAATATATAAGGAGTTGGTTTATACCCTTGATTCAAACCTGGTTCTCCAGATTAGAATCCATTGCTCTTAACCACTACACTATGCTGGCTCTCATATAAGTTTCATATATGAATATAATTAGCTGAACTGCTGTGATTTATTTGAAGAAAAAATAAATTGTGTAAATCCAACATGTTCTGAGCCTCGAGTTGGATCTACCAAATTTCTGCTCCATCTCTTCCCATTTCCCTGTAGCAACTGTTCTACCAGTGAGGCTTCCCTAACTACACCCTAACAAGTCCCACAATCCTCAGCATAAAGAATTCCAATGCCATGTTATATGAAGCTATATATGCATCTGAGAAAATAAATATCTATAGAAAACAAACTAATAGCTACAAACAGATTGAACATACATTTAATTATAAAAATAATACAAAATTTGCATACCAAATGTTTTAGCAGCCTGAATAGTTTCCTTGGATCCACGAATAGTCATGATCTGTGCCAAAGCTGTTAAATCATCACTTGCTTTATAAAATGGATACCGGCCACTCAACAGAGAAAGGAATATGATTCCTGCAGCCCATATGTCAATTGCTGCAATTAAAACAAACCTTCAATAACATATAACTACAATTTTTCTCACCTATGTTTAATGGCCTTAGGAGTGGAAATCACAAGTTGATTTTAAAATATACTAGCTCAGACATTTGATTTTATAGTTTCAGTGCAGGAAAAAGCTCGGTCTACATGAAAGGACTACTGATCTCAGCAAAGCTACATATATATAATTGTGGCACTAACAAGGTACAGCCAACGACAAACTTTACTGCATGTGTAAACAATGGCAGATCCTAGTCCAACCCACTAACCACTACATTGCACTAGATAGTATTTAAAACTGAGGCCCCTGCCACACGGGGGCCCCTGCCACACAGGGAAGAAAATGCGTGGCTTTTGGAAGCCGCACGAAAATAGACACGCCACAGCGGGATCACATGGATCCCCTGAGCCGCGTCGTCTTTGCTCCCCGGCACGATCAGATGCCGGGGAGGAAGCCACAGTCAGGAGACCGAGGCAGCCGGCTGCGCATGTGTCTGCATGCGCAGTTCGGCCAGGAGCTGGGGATGCGTTGGCAGAAGGATGCGCCGGCAATCCCTGCGCCCCTCCAACCCCTCTCCCTTCTCCCCCCCTCCCAGCACCGGCAGTGAGGCCTGAACTCGGCCCGCCAAGCTTTCTCCCTCCTGCCTTCCCTAGCGGCGGTGGCAGCGAGGCCTGGCCAGCCCACCGAACCTTCTCCCGCCCGGGCGGTGGCGAGGCCTGAGCGGCTTACAGGCGCCAGACAAGCCTTCTCCCCCTACCCTTCCTGGCAGTGGCGGCAGCAAAGCCGTTCTCAGAGCACTCCCTGTCAGGGATTTAAATATCCCCCGCATATTTTCCCCAAGTTTTCAGATTTTTCTGCACATATGGGGATTGGCCCAAATGTGCAGGAAAACCTCCCTGCCCCCCAAGTGACCCCGATGTGCTTATTTAGATATCCGCACAGAGGGGGCATGTTGGGAATTAGATATATAGATCTTGTTTGCTTTATTTTCTTAGATGATATACTTGTTCTTGTGGCTGTCTATATTCTTGTGTTGGTATGTGATAGAATGCAACTTAGTGAACAAAGCTTTATAATTCCAGAATGAGACTGCATGTATCTTACTTGCATCCTAGATCATTCACTTATGTTACTGTGCAACCGGACATGATAAGAGATTATCTGTGCAGATGGGGGTGGCAGAGCCTCTTGGGAAGTTCAAGGGGCTCGGCTGGAGTTCTAGAAGAGAATGAAGGCATTCCACTAAGACAGGGGTGGGATCCTAAGGGGAAAACACACTACAATTTCCTCCAGGCACCTCTCTCTCTCTTTTGGTGCCTAACTTCCACAGAAGAGTGACAGGGTGGGAGGAAGGGGAGATTGACTTGAAGGGATTGCGACACTTCCTACCCTGGCCACCCCTGCAGCTTTTTGAATGTCTCTAACCTTGGGCCCAGCAGATTGTAACTGGAGTGGGGGTGATTTTAAGGCAAGCAGAGGAAAAACAAAGAAATACCCAGACCTCACAGACTCTGCTTCCTGTCTATTAGACAGTACTGATCTAGAAGGCTACAAAGTCCCTTCTTAATGAATGCCCTAGCTGCCATATGGAAATTTAGGGAAGAATACCCATATGCTATTTATATTAATGTTGTCTATTTGACACCCACACATTGCACATTAGCTTTAAACAATTTGTAAACACATTATATTATGCTTGGACCAACAGCCACACTGATTGGATGAAATCTCTCAAAATCTCAGAAGCATGAAGAGTGAACATATTAAAAATTCTTAAATGGATGGATGCAAAGCCCCTCCCAGTTGAGACATACTGCTAAATCCATATACTGTATGGGTCTCAAATAAAATACAGGTCCCCCAATTTATATTACAGGGCAAAATATTTTAATAGTTTTAGATAGGTGGTATCTAGTTTCAACCTAATCTACTGTACCTGTAGTTTGAATAGGGCACTTGGTTAATACCTCTGGTGCTCTGAATCCAGGTGTGCCTGCCCTTGGGGCAACCTGCTGACGCCTTGGGAGTTAAGACAGGAAACACAGATTTAGGAAGATATAAGATTTTTTTGTAGTTTGACAGCAAAATCTTAAGATATGCCTTCATACAGTAACATTAATGTACATTCTGCAAGAAAACAGAATCCCTTCATCTCATCAGTTCCTTCCAGGGAGGAGGCTAACACTCTCTTCTTGATTCAGAGTTAGAAAAGGGAATTCTAGCTTCAGTGATAGATTTATGTTTTTGTATTTTAATATTGGTTTTAATTATGTGTTTGTGTTTAATGGTTTTTAGAACATGTTTTTATTGTGTATGCTTTTAATCCATTAGCCACCTTGGTGGACCTGATGAGGAAAGAAAGGTAGGGTATAAAGTTTTGATAAATAAAATATACAGGCCAAGGTATAATTGGCATCCTGAGCTTAAATGGCTACACCAATATATTGTCTTTTAATACCATCAAAACATATTGCTGTCATGTCCTCCAGACATTTTATACACATGCATACATGTACAACAGCTAGCACTTAAATGACAGGCCATATGATTGTTTTGTGGACTTTATAGAGAAGAACTGACAATATACCAAACCATGTAGATAAAATTATTTAAGCAACTATACAATCCGAGTGTGCATTCTGGCAATACCAGTACTGAAAGTGAACACTTGTGTGAAATTGTCAACACAAAATGAGCATTTGGTGTGCATCTATACAGAGGTCTTATGCTATCTTGTATTTATTAAATAATGTGCCCAACTAATCTATGTTTCTAACATTCTGTACAGCACAGACGTTAGTTGTAGTGGACCAAAACTAATTACCTTGAGAGACAAATACTGCAGACTCTATCTTTTGCATAACAGTCACAGGTCAAATTAGCCGGACAAGTGCTGGCAGCTTTTTTGGCTAAGCCGTTGTTCACAGCAGTTTTCTTCTTTGCTGACAATTTTCTAGATGCAATATCTGTCACCCTGGAATGCTTTATGAGCTGCAAATTATATTTTTAATACAATACATATTTAAACACAACTTTAAGTCTTGCTACTCTTAAAAAAATAAAAATTGTACATAGCATTTCAGGAGGCAGTTTGCCAGATTCAAAAAACTTGTTAGCATAAATCCCAATGGCTATTAAATGTAGGAAGATATTTCAAGAATTCCCATTTTAAGGAGATCTAAATGAAACTAGACATTTTACTCACTGCTGCTAATATCCAGAATATTTTAACACTAGGGAGAGAGTGTTGTAAACACTAGAGCAAAAAAAAGAAAGAAAAAGAAACCAATTCCACCTCACTATCCCCCTCCTCTCCCAGTAGCATGTCATTATGGGAATGTTATCATGCCATGCATTCCCATGTCCATATTACTGGCTGCCAGTGGGGTGGAGAAATGTATGTCCCGATGGCATATGCTCCTACATCTATACATTATTAAAGGAGAAAGAAGAATTTATAACTTCACTGGATTTCAGTTTCTGGCAGCTGCCCTGGGTTTGTAATCAAATCTAGGTCTTCTCTTTGCTGCAATAAAGTTGTCCCACTGATTCCACTGGGGTTTAAGTCAGACTAACTGGCTTGTATCCTACCACTGTGCTCTGAAGGCTTCTTCTAGCATAAAGGAGTCTTCTCACCAGGGGTCATTTGGGGGGGGACGCCATCCCCCCGGGTGAGGTGCGGGAGGGCGGGGCCTGGAGCTCCCTGCTGGTGCCCGCTGGAGGTCGCCGCCGGCTGTGGGGAGGACACACTTCCGGTGATGTCAGGGGGTGTGGCATATGCTAATGAGTTATGCTAATGAGTCCCCCTAGCTCTTTTTCTACGAAATGACCCCTGCTTCTCACTACACAAGTGGCTCTTTCTCCAATGGAGAAAGTCAGAAGATTTAAACTTTGCTGAGCAGAGTGGTAGGACTCATGCCAGTGTGTCCAAGATCTGGGCTGTGTTGTTAGCCAGAAAGAAAGAAAAAAATTCTCTACCAATTGACCAAAGCTTTCCCACCTGGATGCCTAAAAAGGAATTAATCTCTGCTCAGACAAGTGGCTATCAATGAAGCCTGAGTTAGAAATCATTACTGCAATCGGGGGTCATTTAGTAGAAAAAGAGCTGCAGGATCTCATTAGCATATGATATGCTAATGAGCTACTAAGCGATTAGCATATGCCACGCCCCCTGACATCACCGGAAGTGATGTCATAAGGGGAAGCAAAAGGTCTTCAAAAGCCTCCCCTTTCCTTCCCCAGCTGGCCTGAGGGGGGGGGAGCGAAGAGAGAAGGGGTTTAAAGTTTATACCCCTTCTCACTAAAGTTGGGCCACAGAAGGAGGAAAGAGGGAAGGAAAGAGAGAGAGTAGAGAGAAGGAAAGAAGGAAGGAAAGAGGAAAAGAAAGAGAAGGAAAGAAGGAGGAAAAGAAAGAGAAGGGAAGGAGGGAAAGAAAGAGAGAAGGGAAGAAGGAGGAAAAAAGGAAAAGGAGAGAATGAAAGGAGGGAAAGAAAGGAGGGAAAGAAAGGAGGGAAAGAAAGGAGGGAAAGAAAGGAGGGAAAGAAAGAAGCCGGCGGTGGGGCTCTCTAGGCCTCCCCCCGGACACAGCACTTCTCCACGGGCCCGGGGGACCCAGCTGCGGGGCTCTCCAGGCGTTCCCCGAGCTGCAGCGCTTCTGCACGGGCCTGGGGGATCCGGCTGCGGGGCTCTCCGGGCCTCCCCCCGGCCCCAGCGCTTCTGCGCGGGCCCAGGGGACCTGGCAGCGGGGCTCTCCAGTTGTCTCCCCTGCTGCAGTGCTTTGGCGCGGGCCTGGGGAAGCCGGATGCGGGGCTCTTCAGGCCTCCCCTGGGCCACAGCGCTTTGGCGCGGGGAGCTGGGGGTGGGGCTTGCCGCTGCCATTTGCGCAGGCTCCTGGCCTGCCAGAGCAGTGCTCCGGCCCCAAAAGACCCCTGACTGCAATATATTGCTACCATTACATGCTTGTACTTCCAATTATGCATAATCTTTACAAAAGTTGCCTGAAATCTAATTTTGTTTCTGTCTGGCTATCAACATGCAACAAATGATTAACATCAGCCCATGTAGACAGAGGATAATGAAATTTTGTATCAAGTAGTATTTCTAAGCATTTATTAAGAAAGACTATTTTTATGCCAATAAAGGTGTTGTATTTGTATTTGTTGTAAGAAAGACTATTTTTAAAATGTACAGTTAACATATTTTTGACAAAATTAAATACATTCAGATAGGGCATATCTGGCAAATCCAAGCAAAAGGTTTCTTATAAAGGTTTTCTCTCTTAACCAGCAATTACAAAATAAAAAAGTTTCATGGGTTTTTGGTTTGGTCTTTAGTTGGAGTGATACACTGCTAGAAAAGCAGATGAATCACTGAAAAGTAAAAGTTCAGACCAGGAGACAGACACACCAGAAGCATGTCAACTGGTTTTCATCCAAGTAGTCTGAAAACTAGCATCATGGGAATATACAATAGGTTTTGAGTAACAACAAGCAGTTTACATTCCATAGCTACCTAATTATCTTAAACTAGTCTTAAAATACAATTAATTGTTAATCTGTTAAGAATATTGATGACAATAATATTATTTAAAGCAAAGTTTACTTTAACAGTGGAGCCATCTTGTAATGTGGAACTTCGGACATTGAAATTTCTCTCCCCAAAGACAGATCGCTGAACAGAATGCCACTCAGACCCCTCCTACAGTGTCAGGAAGAGGACAAGAAGGTTTCTGTCATTAACACACTGTCAAATGTAATCCATCTTTTAAAAAGTGTTAAGTGAGATAATACAAAAATCAGCTGCGTGTATGCTGCCTCTCTTCTTGTGAAGAGAGCATAGTCTAGACTAAACAGTAAACATGCTTGCATAGCGAGTCATGCCTCATTTAACAAACGGGCAGGCATTTGTACTGCTGCACAGCTTTCTCATCATAAAAGTTCACATAAACAAGTGTTGATTCAGGTGGGTAGCTGTGTTGGTCTGAAGCAGCAGAACAAAGTTTGAGTCCAGTGGCACCTTTAAGACCAACAAAGTTTTGTTCTACTCCTCGAAACGCACTGTAAGATCTCCAGCTATCCAGGACCTATGTTTTCGAAATTGTGATAGTATTCCAATATGCTTTGACAATTTAGTTAAATGAGACTAAATGATATACAGAGAAACACTATTTGGAAAGAATGGAATATGGAGCTAGGCTATACATCTAAAATTTTAATTTTGTGAATCACTACTATTACTATTACTAGCCCACTGCAGGAAAGAAACAATTCATTTAGGGAATGAAATAGTTGGCATATGAATTATGCTTACACAGGAACGCTGACGGTCCATTAATATGGTTTAATTGCCCTTATAGACAGAATTAGAACTGGTAATTGTGGTCAAACATGCAGGCTTGGGTCCTAAGTTCCCTTTTGGCTAGTGGTAGGCACTTCTACTTGCAGAAAGGGGGGAGGGAGATTTTCGCCAATTCACCCCTCTCATGATGTTCCTGGGGGTCCACTGGCCCACAAGGGAATCATTTCAGTGGGCATAGATGACTGCAGTGGGAAGGGGAAAGACAGTAAAGTTACTGTTTATACAGTGCAGTTCTGCTTGTGCAGGCCAAACACTTTTGGTTTCATACATGTGTTTATACTGAACTTCTTTCTCATTCTCCATTTTCTAGCTGTTTTGTCCACTGAACTGAATTCTTCTCTTACGACTTTATTGCTTTCTCCCATCCCATTCTTAAAGTCAGAATTACTATACATGCAGGACTTCTGGTCTGCGGCTCAGCGATGGCGGATGCTCTCCCCTGAAGCTGGGGAGGCAATCCGCGCTCCAGGGGTGTTGGAGGAGTGCCACCTCAAGTGGCACCCCCAGGTGAGCCTTAGATAAAGGTTCCGAGCCGGGGGCGCTGGGGGGGGGGGCGACCTCTTCGATGGCGGAAGCAGGAGAATTGAGGCGCTCCTTTTTGCCCCAATCGGTCCACCCCCTGTGAGGCTCGGTTTTTACCGAGCATAGCTGATGCCAGCCGGGACAAGCAAGAAGGTCAACGAATGAGCGTAACTACAAGGGATCTGTGAGTAGACCGTCAATGAATCGGAGAAAAAACCGAGCGAAAAAGCTCTAAAAGTTAGCTCCCCCCCCCCAGCAGAAGCGGTGTCGGGAGAGAATCCCAGACGTAAACAAACTGAACTGAGACACAGAGAAAGAGGGGGG